TCTATAGAGTAGAAAAGGGTGTTTGTTGGACAGCCACCAGGCACGTAACCGAGGAGATRTTGGTTACTCTTTTTCTTCTTTTCAGAGGATTATACCAAGAGGTAAGTTATCCCCAGTTTAGGTATGTGATTGATGTCCTGTGTGTTAGGAGACAGCCTCAACTTGTTTTTCTTCTCCCCTACAAAGAAATACACCAACATTAAGTTTACCTGTGCTTACAGGAACTTATGACCTACTCATCACTAATTGCTAACTCTGTTTAAAAGAGAAGAGAAGGGAAGTTTGTGGGCTTTAGAGTTAGATTGACATCAGATATCATCCTGGTTTCATGACTGAATTTGGGCAACTAATCTAACCTCTTAGCTTCATCATCTTTGAGATGAATATAATGTCATCTGACTTGCAGGGATCTTGTGAGGAGTATGAAATATTATTATCAAGGGTGTATAAAGCTTCTTGGACAGAACCTGGAAGGTATTGGATTCTGTGAATATTAAACATGACATGTGTAGATCAATAAAAGTGTGTTGAATTAATAGTAAATACTAATTATTAACTATTATGTGAAGTAAAACATAATTGTGTTTTAAAAATGTAAAACATAGTCTTATATATCTATTGTATTTTTCAAAATTTTATTTTTAATTGCAAGTAGACTAGAATTGTTTATTCATGAGGTAATTATTCCACAGTGGGGCAGAGAGAATTAGTCTAAATATAACATATGCAGTGGTATGCTTTAAAAATTTAATGATTCCAACAAGTTATTCTATTATATATTTATTTATTTATTTTGTGGTACTGGGGATTGAACTCAGGGCCTCACATATTCTAGGTAAACACTCTACCATTGAGCTACATGTATTCCAGCATTTTGATTTTGTTTTGAGACCAAGYTGGGTGTTGCCAGGCTGGCCTTGAACTTGCAACCATCTTTCTTTAGCCTTCTAAGTAGGTGGGATTATAGGTATGCATATAGGTGCCAGTGCCTGGCATGCTACCATATTTAGATATTATTGTGGTCAATTAGATGTTGTATACATATGTAATGTTATGATATGGTATCTGTATATGTGGAGAGCTAAATCCCACATAGGAAGCAAGGAAGATTCTGTAATATTAAGTACCTTCAGTTTATCATAAGGGATTTGCCCTTCCTGTCCATCATTTTCTGGTTAGAACCATGCCTGTGATTATTGAGCATTTACCGTATGGCACTGTTATACTGACAGAATATATGGTGACTAGCTAAAGATAGATGACTTATAAATTTACACCTCCATATGATAGATTAAGGCTTTATGACCATGGCATTCTATTCCCCATTTGCCTTTCTGTTTGTTCAAACCATCTTTAGTAATACACTTGCTGACATATAGACTTACGTGTTATATGTAATACTGTTGGTGAATTTTCTCCTGTTTTAAAATTGTCTTAGTCACAGAAAGCTAACAAAAGAGAGGTGCTTGCTACTGCATGTCTGTAAATAGGTAGTTACTCTGCAGGTATACATCTTATTTTGGCTTTACATTGCTTTCAGTAATTTAATATTGAGGAAGTAAAAATGTTATTCTTGTTTGTGTTGAACYACGACTCCAATTTTGAATCAAATTAAAGCAAGCTTGTATTTGTATACTCAGGAACTGGCTAGGACTGTCTCTCCCAAAATCYCAGGCTAGTGATCAGTACCCCAGCTCTCCAGGAACATGGTTTTATAGCACAAAAAGTTGCAGAAGGTGGGTGTCTTGAGTACTAACATATAACAGGATTTTGACAAGCATAATATAAAGGCAGATAGTAGGTTAATGATCTACATGGCATGATATTTCAAGGTAGGGAGTAAATTCAGATCCCAACATCAGAATTTATGCCGCTGAGATTTCAAAGAGGGTTGTTATCTGGTCAGGGGGAGCCAGGACTTATAAGGCGTCAGTAAGATTTTAGAGAGGGTTCTTATCTGTCAGGGAAAGCCAGGCATGGGTGAGTTCAAGGCATTCCAAACAAGTTTAGAAATCAGAGTAATTTATAGAAAAACAGAAATTAACTTTTCATGACTTTGTGATGTGATGGCTTCCAGTCTTAAAATGGAGTTAGCCTGGGTTCATCAGTCTGTAGAATTTCAGTATTTTAGGAAGTTATAGTCCTAACTTGGTTTATAAGACTTCCTTTTGTGTAAATTTTTTAGCTGGTCACACCTCAGTTTACCCAATCTCACAAATTCTGAGCRTTATCTCTTTGATTCCTTTTATTCCATAGTCCCTCATATCTGAAGTCAGTGAATTCTGCTTGTTTTGAACTCTTCACTGTTTCTCCAATTCATCCCATCTTTGTTCTTGCTGCCACTGTTCTAGATCAAGTGCTGGGTGTTGCTCTCAGCTCTTCTGTGATTGATCTCCCTGCTTTAGTCTTGTGCTTTTCTTCATGTTGATTGTCAATYTTAAATATAAGTTCTTCTCCTTAAAACCATGTAAAACTCTTGTCACCTACAAGTTCAAGTCCAAGATTCTGAAACTTACGGTTATTCCCAACTCTTACTCATCCTTAAAGTTTCAACATAGTACCTTCTTTAGGAGTTTCAACTACCCCTCAACAGTTTTGGCATTATTTTTCTGAAAACAAGTCCAATACCCAGAGTTCACCTTTTAAGAAAGGAATGAAGAAAACCAACCCAAATATAGATGAAGTTTCCTCCTACTCAGTAAAAGTAGACAGGTGAAGTCTAAGAGTGGTAACAGGTTTAAAGCTCCATTGCAGTAAAGCTTATTACATAAAGAAAGAATATACACTTTGGCGGGGAGGATGATATTATAATAGCAATATATAGAAAAGCTAGGAGTCAAAGGCAGTGCCATTCAAAAGTCTCAGTGAAGGTTTACTCACCCCTATTGCCCAGTCCTGGCTTATCCTGATATAGATGGATGTATAAGACTGTCAGTCCCTGATTCCATTAACCATTCTTATGTAAGTTAAATCCTTTTGCTTATCACACAGTGATATGGTTAAAATGTAATAAATGGCCTGAGCACAGTGGGACATGCCTATAATCCCAATTACTTGAGGGGCTGAGGCAGGAGGATCACAAATTTGAGTTGAATCTGGGCAATTTAGACCCTGTCTCAAAATTAAAATAAAAAGGGCTGGGGATTCAGCTCCGTGGTAGAGTGGCCTCTGGGTGATTCAATCCCCTACTGAAGGGGGAAAAAAAAGATTAAATAGTTTTCCCTATAGGGAGAAAAGCTGCTGCTAGTTGTCATGTAAATAAATGAATTGGATTTATGTACAATTTTTTCTGTTAGTCTGAGTCACTGAATAGATATGAAATACAGTCGTATTTCTGCTCATTAAAACTGAGGATTAGATTCATAAGCAAACTGTATTCACTAAGATAATAGTACCTTGTAACACTTCCTGGCTGCTAGTTAGCCAGTTTTACTGGTGACACCGTCTGTCATCATGTGTACCACTTTATGCCTGCTTTGTTTAAAATGGCCTGTGCAAATATTTTTCTTAGGCTTATAAAAATACTAATATTTAAATGACTTGGAGAAATGAATGAAATGCTAAGTGGTCTTTTGTTGCAGTATTGTTTTCCTTTTTTTCGGGGGGAATACTATGGTTTGAGCTGAGGGACACTTTACCACTGAGTTATATCCACAGCCCCCCTTTTTAAAAAAATATACATTTTATAGTTGTAGTTGGACACAATACCTTTATTTAAAAAAAATTTTATTTTTTTAGTTGTAGTTGGACACAATACCTATATTTTATTTACTTATTTTTATGTGGTGCCGAGGATCAAACCCAGTGCCTCACATGTGCTAGCTGAGCGCTCTACTGCTGAACCACAACCCCAGTCCCCCCTGAACCGTTTTTTTTTTTTTTTTAAATTTTGAAGCAGGGTCTCCCTAAGTTGTTGAGGTTGCCAAGGTTGATCTTGAACTTGTGATCCTCCTGCCTCAGTCYCCCAGGTAGCTGAAATTATAGAAGTGCCACATCTTGCCCAACTCCATGGTTTTAATTACTAAGCACATTACTATAAATTTGCTAGGCCTTCATTTTCCCTGGCTAGTCCTACCCTCAAAATCCATGAGACAATGCTGAATTTCAAATTTATTCACAGTTAAATGATGAAGTCAGATTTCATTCTCCCTTTCTAGATGTTATGCAAAATAACAAACCATTTATTAAATACACACTATATGTCAGGTAGTGAGTGCACTGGGTTATGTTTAATATTTTAAAAATATCCCTGCAGAGTATTTTTATATAGATGAGAAATTTGAGACTTAAAAAAAGGTTAAATAACTTTTTCATGATCACAGCTAGGAAAATAGATTGAATTTGAACCCAGAGCTATTAATTTCTGGTGGCCCTTCTCTTACTAGTAAAGAATGCTTGCCCAGCACATTTAGTTATGTTTAAATAAACGTGTATTTTAATAATTATATTTGTATTTTAAACTAGTTACTTTTAGACTTTTTTTTGCAGTGCTGGGGTAAACATAGGACTTCACACATGCTAGGCAAGTGTGGTATCACTGTGCTATAGCTCCAGTACCCTAATTTAGACTATTTTTTTTTTGGATATTTTTATTTTTTGGGATTTTTTTTAAAGAAGAGTATTATGGATTTTCATCTATTTTTACATAATTTCCCTGAGATAAATTCTTACATAGTTATAACAGCACTTCCTTGCTCCTAAACTAAATTTCTGTAAGAATGTTGGTTCATACCAAGGAYCTATTTATTCAGTATTTGCTATTAAATATGTGGCTGTTTCTTTTAAATGGTTATGTATTTAAGGCAGCACCGTTATCCAACAAAATCTCCCACCCTTCCCCAAATGTAAATTCTGCCTGTTCAGCAGCAGCAGAAGCTCTGCATTGTTTCCCCTTAGAAGTGTGAACTGAAGGGGACAGACATTCCTACTGCTTATTGAACGTACTAAGCTGTGATCTGCCCTTGTTGTATTATTAATGGCACCATGTTTTTATGTTGCAGATGGATAAGAGCTAGCAAGAAAAATTCAGGACCATGATGGCWCAGTTTCCCACAGCTATGAATGGTAAGGAGCTTTGTGCTTGTGGCAAGATGAGGAGGATATGGGCTTTTCTTGGTAGAGATTTAAAATATTTGTGTAGATAATTTTTCTTGACCTTAGAAATATAAAATTGAAGTATTCTTGTTGAAAATATTAATTAATAATTTATTTCAGAACACTGCATGTATCTCCCATTAGAATATTATGCAGTACATTTCACATATCTAATAAGCATGTTCTGCACTGTCATCTGGAATGTGTGCTTGTCATTGAACAGTTAAGAATAACTTGTCATTGAACAGTTAATGATATTGTGTTTTGTGCATAAAACTGGAGGACAAAAAACAGAGTGTTGTTAGGTGAAGAGTAAGGATGTTTTTGATAGTGTGATGATTGAAGACAGATGAAACCAATAAAAATTCATTTACTAATACACATATAAGATTAAGTTTTCCCTTTACAAAGCATTTTATATGATGACATATATAATTGCTTAACATGAAACATTTTAAAAGAAAATGTGTAAGTAATTTTAGTAATGAAAACTTTTAAAGCTTATGTTCTGATTCTAATTTTTTTCCAAATACAAATAAGCTACCCTTAATTCTTAAGTTATTGTGAATATTATTTAGAGTTGAGAAAAATGTACTAGATTTTTAAATTGCTAAAAATTCTAGATACTGAGTTATTAATGTTGTGGTAAATTTCATTAGCTAACTGTAGGTAAATATAAGGTTATAGAGARTAAAGTCAATTTTTTAACATTTAAATTGAAAACAATAATATTAAACATTTTTTTAAAAAAGAGGGAAGAATCACCATTCCATCATCTTCACAAAGCAATTCTGTTTTGATGCTACCATTTAGTGTAAGGGTATTGTGATTTTTTTTTCCCTTTTCAGAACTATTATTTAAGAATTTATGTGAGGGCTGGGGATGTGGCTCAAGCGGTAGCGCGCTGGCCTGGCATGCGTGCGGCCCGGGTTCGAGCCCCAGCACCACATACCAACAAAGATGTTGTGTCCGCCGAGAACTAAAAAATAAATATTAAAAATTCTCTCTCTCAAAAAAAAAA